GGTGACCTTGACCCCACGTGACCTTGCCACGTCACTTCCTGGTCCAGAACCGGCCTCATATATCTACTCCTGCCTCTTCTCATGTTGGCCTGGATAGCCTTTGTAGGTGGGTCCCATCCGTCGTCTACCCCGACCGCAAATGCGGCCGGTGTAACCAAAGCACCAGTTATGTTACTGGATGTACCATATCCAATCTCCATGAGAATTTTCTCTACAAATAAAGAATCTGCTTTCTTGAGGATAATTTTGAACATCCGATTCAATAATTCAGGACATTTTGCGAAACCAATCTATTAAATAATCTTTACCCACAATCAACTTATAATAAATAATCGGACTTTTATCCATACATATAATGCAGGTCATAACTCAGGCAGATGAAGTTTGCAGCACGAGCCGCAGGCGAGTGCTGTAATTCATCAAGTGAGTTATGACCATTACCGCAAGTTGAATACTATACTTTATCTACGACTACATTTTCTGTAAACAAGTTAACGTTTTTATTGCTACACCAATCTTGAAAATTTTTATATACACCTTTATCAACAAGTAGGTTATACCTACTTGTTTTTTGATTTTTCTGGTAATAAATTCTGTATTGCATTATTAGCTGCTTTTCTTATTTCTGGAGGTGTACATAATAACTCATCTTCGCTATCTAAATTCATCTTTTTTAGGACTATTATTCGAAATTGATTTGAAAACGTCAAAATTATTTTGTTAAAATATCAAATGACATTAGTCCCCTCAATGATAATAATTGACAGTTCCGCCTACTGAGAGGCGTTGGCAATTTAATAATTTTAAAATCTTTTAATTATTCATTCCTTTCCACTTGTTAAAAATTCTTTCCATTTTACACCAATGGAACGTATTTATCGGCTTAAAAATTTCCAAGAATTTACTGCGTACACTATTTACATACCGAATTATCATTGTAGAAGCCCAGCGTGAGTTATAATAACTCACTATAATTAAAACTAAATTAATAGGAGTAGATAAAGTAACTTTATTTCATTAGTAGAATAATGAAAAAATAATATACCTATAATAAATCAAATTTAATTTATTTACTTATTAACATTAACATTTTTTATCACATTTAACTTCCTTTCTGTTAATAACTACCCTTGTAGCATTGTTGCAATCATTTTCTGAACACATAACATCTGCAGGTTGTGAAGAATTTGCACAAGTTACGGATGTCTTTTCTTGTAAGGAACAGCTAGGTATATTTTCATTGGATTTTCCTTGTAATATCAAGTTTGTTAGATATAGACTCCTCAACATAACTTTCTGCTACAGAGGAGCTCTTCCATCCACCATGCCGTTTGATGGTTGTAAGATCAGTACCTTTATTGGCCAATAAAGTTGTTGAAGTGCGCCTCATAAAATGGCCAGTATATGCTTCTGGATTTGCGATATTCAGGAATTGAGCAACTATTGAGAGTACTGAGAAATACATTTTTGATTGATGATATCATATCTTAAAAAGAATCTGTCTTGTGTTAGGCAAATTGGCCGCAGAGAAATATATTTTCTGCATATTTCAACAGCATTCACGCAAAATCCTTCCTCTATAATTGTAAATTTTCTTGAAATGCCCGTCTTGGTGTCAGGTATTGAAACAAGCAGGTAACTGCCAACGTCCTGTATGTCACTAATTTTCAAATTTGTCAATTCGCAGCATCGACAGACACCAGAATAATTCAAAGTTCACTATATACCTAACAATATGTAAAAGGTAAAGAGATATTACCTTAATCATTAAGTATTCTTTATCGAAAACCCCAGTCAAAAATTCTTGAACATGTGCTCCTTCCAATACTGCAACTTTTTTTGCTTTGTATCACTCTTCAAATAAGCAGTAAGCTTGTTATATTTTCCAATATCCATATTTCTGTAGACCTTTATAGTAGCTTTCAACATTGAATATTTCGACCACATAGATGAAATTGCATATTTCTTCTTCAAATTTAAAAAATACGATATCATGACTTCTTCATTTATTGTAATTACTCTCTGTTTTTCCCGTCATTCGTTAAATTCGACGAACATTTTTTCGTAATGTTCCCTGAATTTCGCTGGCAATAAATGGAAAATTGCTTCTTGAGCTTCTTCAAAAATAACCACAGGAACACAAATACTTCCTTGCACTTTTACCAAATTCAGATAAAACTGTTTATTAAATTATTGATAATGAACAACGTACCATAGCAATCAGTAGGTATAACAAAACCTACCACGTTCCATTGAATACTAGTAAGAAATATCATGTCGTGCGAATATTCTTTTATTAAATTCCATTAATTCTGACTCCACAAATATGATTGTGATGTGATTATGGATAATACGTTGTATTGCATTTGTGTTTTAATTGCCTTTTATCCACTTAAAATTAAAAACGTTCGAACTACGTTCTCGCGTTTAAACATTCTTGCGTGGATAAAATACTACTTAAAACACTTATAGAATAAATAACTATTTGCTGTTTGGGGTTTAGTTTTATCAGCATGATATCAAAATTTGACTTTCTTAAATCCTAGGTCGACATTTCCTTTGTTTGCTTAATTTTACTATTAATCTGAGTACTATCATTGTATAAGTAAAGTATTTACTTATACAATGGTACTATCAAAAGCAACAAAGAAACAAATGTTTCTGTCGTAGTAAATTAACTACAAATTTTATTAAAAATCTCTAACTCCTTTAGGTAGTTAGTAGTAAGACAACAGCCAACCTCGACGACTTAGACGGGGCGTTAGATGCGATCCTACAAATTTTGGTATGCGAGCAAAAGATAGGTTGGTCGAAAGATTCAAGGAAAATAATACTGTTGCCCACAGACAGTTTGTTGCATTCTGCTGGAGATGGATTATTGGTGGGTGCTGTACTAAAACCTAATGGTACTTGCCTTCTAGATGATGATGGGAACCATATAAGTCCCTTAACATATGATTTTCCGTCTGTGGGGCAGATTCATACTTTCTTGAAGGAGAAAAAAGTAAGTCATTCTATGGTGTTAGAATAACACAGCTCATAGCATTATATTATTTTTTAATTGCTTTGCAATCTTACAGACTTCGCCTACTTTTGCTTTCTTTAGGAAGTGATAATTTTTTTTGGTAAAACTCGAAGTCAAAGTTGATGGTATTTGATATACTGAGGTTAAAATTTTACAGGGGGCTAATAAAAAGCTAGAATTGAAACCTAACCTAAAATATATAGGTATGGCTATCTATCTCTTTCCATTAAAATGAGTACAATGACTGTCGCATATAATTCAAACAGACTTTAAAGGTTAATAAATTTTAAATTAGTAAAAGTTTGAGTAATAAACATTAGGATACACAAATTGAACGAATATTTATGTAACATGCTATTGTACTGTCCCGTATCTTAAAAATTATGACAACTGTATCTATTTATAGTAGAAATGCCACCATTTTTTAAATTTTGCAGCTTGAACATTTCATACTGTCACTTTTTTGTTTTTATATTTTTTCTCCTCTAAACCATTCACAAATTGTAAAACTTTCTTCCGCATATTTTGATGTGCTCATATTGTTTGTCATTTTTAGGTAAATATCATTTTTGCTGTCAAAGATCAGCGCAAATTAGAATACTATAAGAGTCTCACTAGAGAACTCTTCAGAGACTCAGCTTTTGTGGGTGAATTGCAAGAAGATGCCAAAAATATTCTGGAATTAATAACTAAAGGTACATCAGAATTCACCCCGAATATATCAGTTTCTGATCAAAATATTCCATTTTAAATTTTATTAGTTGTAAATTATCTAAGACAATTTTTAGGCTATTAAATGTTTTAGGTTACTATAATTTCGCGCGACAAGTGAGTTTCTCCATTAACACCACGTTGCACGAAAATTTGGACGTAAAATTTTTCGCCGACTGCGACAATCTCGGCGTAATGAACGAAACGTCGGCATGCTACAACGTCGAAGAAAATTCGGTGGAATTCACGGTTCAATTGACACAGAAAGGACCTCCGACAAAATTGAATGTGAGTAGATGACTCGACTGTATGGAGTACCTCAGGGATCCATCTTTGGACCTCTTGTTGTTATGACAAATTATAAATGACTTGTGACTATGAAATAAGATATATTCTTCTGCAGTTAGCTTGTCTTGATGATTGTCTTTATTAAGTCACAGTTAATTGTTATACAAATTTCATAAATAACTGCTATGAGGAAAGTGTCCTGCAACGAGCTCTTTTTTCCCATTATTATTGAATATACATACAAAAACAATGAAAAGTGAAATAATAAATATTCGTCATTCCAGTATTTAGCATTAATTATAAATGTCACTTTATTTTTCACCAGGACTTCTTATTTATTGAAGAGAAGAATATCAACGAGAAAATAGCCTTGAATATCACCTACACCGGACTATGTTCTTGTAAAAACTACGACGGAGAAGTATTGACTTGTTCCAATGGAAATTTTAGATGTGGGAAGTGTATATGTCAGGACGAATGGTAAGGAAATATATGAAAAAAGGAAATGAAAATATTTTTTTCTGTAATACAAGATGGTTTTTAAGTATGTTCTGATAATAAAGAGGGTGATTCCTTAGATCGTCTCGATTAAAAATGTGGTATGAACTTATATCCTAGACGGCTTAGAACTCGTGGTAGAGTGCAATTTTTTTATAAGATCTACGCAGATATCTCGAGAGATGTTTGAGGTAGATTAATGAAATTTAGGCTAGCAACATAACTAATTGTAAGTAAAAATAACTAATACTGAATTTTAATATAAAATCGATTTATGTAATTGAAAATAATTCTAAAACTGTTGGTTATTGGAAAACTATAAGTTATAGGATTATTTTGTTGAGAACAAAATTTCAAATAAAATCAATAAAAATCTAAAAAAAAATTATATGGAAGTTTTGAATTTTCTTAAATTTCTACTGATTGTGAATAGGTATTCCGAACTTTTAATGAAGTAATACCTTGTATCTCAAAAAGTAAACTGTTAAGATATAAATTCATATGAATATATTTCCTCAAAGATTCTAATTCTAAAGTATTACCCCTTTATTGTCAAAACGTCAATGTTTTTTACATCAAAATGTGTATGTTATTTTAAAAATCAGCCTGAACATCAGAATGTTATTTATTTCTAATAAAAACATAACTTCCCTTAAAAGAAAATAAGAGAAACAAACTTAAACTTCATATTTTTACATTAAAATATATTGATTTCAATTAGCTAAAAACAATTCGAAAAATGTTCCTAAAATTGTTATCTGGATATGCTAAGCAAGCAACTTCAAAGACAAGTATCAATAATGAATAACTTATGATATTGCAGGGAGCAACTTCTCTGCGGACTAAAGTGCTGTACAACGTTCAATTACACCGATAATATCTAGTAAACATCTCTCATATAAACATATCTTGCCCATATTAATTGTATAAAGAAATGAAAATAATCCAAATATTGTTCAATCGCGATAATTAATAATATTTAAATATATTATATCTATTTTTTAGGTATAACATGTTTCCTAGATACTGTAATTCGATCCTGGACGATGTTTTAGACCACATAGTTGTATCCTACAAAATTATTAGTAATAAACTTATCTTTGAAGTTACTTTTTAACATATGAGTTGCTGGTGCTAATGAGCATTTAATTTTAGAAAAATTTTCAGATTTGGTTTGAATAAACTTTTTAATAAAAATGCAAAAAATATAATAAGAATATGGTCATGGTTTTACTTTAAAATCAACATATTATTATTTTTCTAGGACTGGAAAGCTATGCGACGAAAGTTGTGACAATAAAGATTTTGGTTCCTGCAAAGCAATTGCTGATGGATACATTTGCAACAGAAAGTATGTATATCTTTGACAATTTGACAATTAAAATGGAAGCAAATTTATATAAAAATATAAATCATTATCAAAAAAAAAAAACATATAAACATCAGTGCCATACATTTTTTAAATATTTGAATACCTAAGTTGTGAATATAATATTGAATATCGGGTTACATAAATATAGACTTACACATTTGAATAATGTTTTGCCATGATGTTTTGATATGTGAATGTGCCTTTAGCTTAAAGTCGACTCCAGATGATGCGATCGCTAGCCAAATATTTGTCAAATGTAAAGAAATGTTACATCTTGGGGATACTGTTTATGGATGTATTCAAAATCTCAAATGTTCTTTGTGTATTTCGTACTGTATTATGAATGTTTATTATTAGCATATCACTCTTATCTTCTACATCATCTACGGTAATTTTTATTAATTCGTCACGACATATCTCAGTTAAGCCAATTATTGGTATAACCTACAAAGAATTTTTAATGTAACCACTAAAAATTATTGAAAATACCTTCATAGCAAAATAATCATAATTCGAAACTGATAAAAAAACTTTGAACTTCTTTGCTTTATATGCCACATATTATTTCTTTATAAAAGGTATTAATTTTTTCTAAATTAGTCATTAGCAGTTTTTGTATGGTAAAAATGTCCATTGTTATTATTTTTTAAGAATGATTTTTTGTATTTTGATGAAGCAATTTCATCATTCTGATTTGAAAGGGCAAAATTGTCTTTGAAAACTTAAAGTCAATTCTTTTCACCAGTTCTACATGTCGATTATTCTGTCATTTAATTCTAATCTTGCCCGTACATTTTCAGCGGTGATTGCGTCTGTGGCAAGTGCCTCTGTGGTTACCCATTCGACGGGCAATACTGCCAATACCAGTGTCCAACATCTAAAAACGGAGAAATATGCAGTGGGCCCTCTCAAGGCAAATGCATCGAAGGAAAATGCTCCTGCAACGAGGAATTCGAGGGCGACGACTGTTCCTGTTCGAAATCCAAGTCTGGGTGTAGGCTATTCGAAGCCATGCAATTCTGCAGCGGAAACGGAGAGTGCGTGTGCAATCACTGCAATTGCGAGAGCGGCTTCTCGGGTCAGTTCTGTGAGAATAACAAGGAGAACAACACTTTATGTGAGCTTTACATAAAGTCTATCGAAGACGCTGTCTTGAATGGCACCGATCACGGCGTCATGGGTGCTACGAAGTTCTTGATCCAGGAGGTGGATGAGGACAGGAGGAAAAGTATTTGCAGTAAGTGACAGCTAGTTTAAATTAAATAAATATGCGAAAGGGAAAATGTACTTGTCGCAGCATTTACACAATTTGAAGCAATATGGATACCAAATACAGATAGTGGTGAAAATGTTTTTGTATTTTGGTAAAATATCGTTAGTACTTGTGTGCTTCATCCTAGCTGCTCTTGCGCTTTAATCGCAGAGCTTGCACAATTGGTAACTGGGCTGTGCATTATTGTCAAATCTTATTTTTAAAGGAAAAGTTATTACACCCACTGAGGTTTGGCACGTTACTTTTGTTGAGAGGGTGTTCAGCACGAGCTCTACCATCCCAGAAAAACTAAAATTTAATTCTTTTAAGTAAAACAAACTATGAATCAGTATTTAACAAGTAACCTAGCAACAACTCAAGCAGTAATGAAAAAATGAAATACACAAAATAAATAATCTGTTTACTCACCTGATTTTTATAATATAAACTTAAGATTTTGTGGCAAATCTTCGAATACTGGTACCAGTATCCTCTTCCACGACGTTTAAAATTTCTGGTTCAAAGATCCCATAGTCTCTGTACTTGCGTCCAACAAACCTTTCCCTTTCGAAAATTTTCGGTGTTGCCGCGTTTTCGAACGAGCGATTTCGGAAATTGTCGTTCTGACGCTATGCTACGATGAGATACATGCCATTTTCTTTTTTATCGGAATGGTCAGTTTTTATGACAAAACATTTAAAAATTTATTTATCCGACAAAAATCATTCCGCGTTCCCATTTATCCACCATCCCCAAAATGTCAAAATGGCGTCATTATGTATCCTTATACATGCAAGTTCCATTTTGCGTAAATTGCTTAAGTAATGTGTAGTATAACAACCCCGGGTTCGATCGAAAAAAACAAAAATAAACGTAGTTGTGGCCAAAAATATGTGATCGTCATAAGGAATACCTACGTTGTATGTATCTATTTAACTAACTTTAAAGAGGGGAAGTATGGTTTAAATTTATAAAATAAAGGCAGAGTAAATACACCTAACTTTATTATTTTTGTACAAGTCTTCAAATTAAACATGTGACAATTAGAAAGAACAACAAAAAACATTAACAACTATTTAACATAAAATGAGAGTGCCATGCTCACCTAGAGCTCCTGTGGGGAAAGAGCATGACAGAGAAACCCATGATCGTTGCTCTAACTACTCAAATATAAATACAAAACACCGGATAACAAAAAGCATAAATTAAGATCCTTTGCTAATGATAAATAACACCCAACTCATTTAATGTCTCACTAAATATATGTATATATGTTAGTTAGCCGGCAAAGCCGGAAGGTACTGGAGTCTCATACGGGAGGCAATCCAACTATGAGTTGAGATTTCGAAAGATCTGTTTTAGCAATTCTTTTTTTGTATTTAATTATTCTTTTTACAGATTCATTCCTCACGGACGAAAATGTTAGTAAATTCAACAAAGCTCTTATATGCGTATGACATGTGAAACAAAGGAGTTGGTATTGCAATATCTGGGCAGTCACGACAATATATACATATTTTAACATGTAATAAATAATGAGCAATCGTTAATAATAATTGTAACAATTTTACCTTAGAAAAATATATGACCTTGAACATAAAGCAATGGAGGCTAAACGTACAGAGAAGAATTGTTATCATTAAACATCTATAATCATCACAATCATAAGATTACATAGAATAATTAACAACAAAGTACAAAGAATATTACCTGCTAATTAATACGGGTTAAACACTTTGATTTTTCACTAATTTGTCACACTGCCCGCCGATCGTCTTACTCCCATCTCCACACTGTTCTCACTTCAACTATTTAGGCCTCCTTCCAGAAGTCCCCACCTAAGCGCTTGTTTCTGTGCTTCCTTCTACCAACTGTCAATATTACGTTTTCATTATTGTACAACACTCACGTAACAGGTGACGTTGAAGTTGATACGATAAGTATGGTTTTGCACAAATTTGTGAAACAAACAGTGGTCAACTTGTCCGACAAAAATCATGCAGCGTACGAGAAGTGTGACGCCCTAAAAATGTCAAGATGACGAGATTATGTTTCCTCACCTATACGAATGGCGTTTTTTTACATAAAATGACAAATATCTCAAAAATTTTGGTATAGATTAAAGAGTTTACAAAAGTTTGATAGGAGTGCTATATATAATAAAAACTATATAGAATAGTTTTCAGATACAATAATAATAACACTAATCAAATTTATGTACCTATAGGTGCACACTAATTACTAAAGAAAAGAACGGTACATACTTTCAATTATATCTTTGACTTTATAAAAATTTCCATTGTTTATGTTACAAGAATATGCTCACATATAACTCTACTATATTAAGCCGTCTCCAAATGATGCGCCAAATATTTGTCAAACATAAACGAATTTCGTATCCGTATGTGGATACTGCATGTGGATACATTTGAAAACATATATTCGCTTGCCACACATTCGACAAAGCTATGTACTAATATTTCATACCTACTATATGATAAAACTTTTTTTCCTAAGTAATCTGCAAATATTTGACAAATGTTTGGCAAGTGACCGCATTGTCCGGAGCCAGCTTTAGATGTCATACATACGCGAGACACAATCAACAAAAAAAGCACCAAGAAGAACTTGATTGCTTCATAAACGTTACATTTTGACAGATAACATATTCTGGTCAACAATTTTAGAAATTTGTCTCTTCATTTTTCTCTGGGTATCTTCTGTGATGAATAAAAATCCTCTTTTTATTATGCCTTCAGATGCCAGCGAATGCGAAACCATCATCTACCAGGGTAACACTCGCTGCACGCTCAAATGTTGCTACCTTAAAAAGGACGACGACATCGTTCACTGGCTGGTGACAAAGGAATGCATGCTCACCGCAAGTTTCGCGGCTATAACCACTGGGATCGCTGCCCTCGCTGCAATTATCGTAGCCGGTATAATAGGAATCGCCTGTGCCAAATACAGGATCTATAGGCTGGAGAAGGAAGAGTATAGGCGCTTCAGAGAAGAAGCCAAGAGTCTCCATGAAATGAATCCTATATATAAGGATCCTGTGTCTACGTACAGGAATCCTATGAGGGCGAAGAACGACTGAATTTGTTTGAGCGACTGAAACAGGGGTTGTTGAATGGCGCTGGTGTAAGGGCTCTTACAGGAATTACTTGTTTGTAGTTTTTTAACACAATCTCTTTGCTTTGTAACATACCCAGTAAACCATCCACAAACTTGCGGATGACTTTACGAAAGAGCTATTTGATGTGGACGTTAATCAACATACACTAGGCACAGAAATTAAGGGATATTAAAAAAATCCCAACATTTTGGGTGATTTTCAAAGAGCTGTAACTTGGAGGGAAATGGTCGTAAAGAGAATAAAAAAAAGGAAATTGAAGCTTCAAGTGTCTAGTTTTCGGATCTGGAGTTTAAATTTTTTTAGCGTCAGCAGTTTTTGAGTAATCATAAGAAAATAAACGGAAAAAAAATGTAAATTATTGCTTTTTTTAAAAAGGCCTATGGACTTCAAAAAATGTTTTTTATCAAAAACCCATAATTACGACTTGTAGAGAATACTTTGCAGTTTTCAAAACCCTGCTTGAATTTTCTGTACGACCATTATTTCCTGAGTTATTGATTGCCAAAGTCAAAAATGATTTGTTTGCTTTGATCGACGATAACTGAGCGACAAATAATCGTACAAGGCTCCAGAATCGCTCAAATTGAAGAGAATTAAATTATCTAAAAGATCTTTATAATGAAATTACCAAAAAAAATTTTTTAAGTCCACAGGCCTTTTTAAAAAAGCAAAATATTACAATTTTTTTTCCGTTGATTTTCTTATGATTACTCAAAAACTGCTGACGCTAAAAAAATTTAAACTAGAAAACTAGACACTTGAAGCTTCAATTTCCTTTTTTATTCTCTCTGTGACCATTTCCCTCCAAGTTTCAGTTCTTTGAAAATCACCCAAAATTTTGGGATTTTCTTAATATCCCTCAATTTCTGTTCCTAGTGTATTACCGACAAAATTAAATATTCATATCCCTAGATATTCTTCACCTGAAATTTGAGGTGCAGCCATATCCATCTTACTGTCCAAATTTGGCGTTATTAGACTCTCATTTATCTGGAACTTCAAAGGCTAACTTCTTACAAATGTTAATGAGAAAACTGAGGCAGTTCAAAGGTGGTTAAAAGCTACACCAAATAGTTTTTTTATGATGAGTATCCGCAAGCTTATGGATACATGTAAAAAATATGACACAAGCTGCCGTTATTCAACAATTCCTGCTATTTGGTTTAAATATATAGATGGGCATTGGCTCGAATGGAAGTAAAATTCTGGTTCAAATATGTTTCAGTAAATCTGTTGTTTTTATAGACAGTTCTTGCTAATATTAAGAAACAAACCTCGTTGTAGTTTTTAAAGCAAAGTCTAGTAAATGGCTGATGATGGTTGTGCTGACGATGGAACAGTTATTTGTTTTTTCTTAACCTCGCCTTAAAATACGGTTTTACGAACCCATTTCCGAATAAGAAATGTCACTTCTTAGCACAGATTACCAACCAGATGACCAAGTGAACGTGTAATTGTAGTTCAAGAGACAGAGCTATATCACTTTACTCTCTCGCTCTTAATGTAAAACCTACGTAGATGGCGCGGTATGCCACATAGCGGGAATTTTGAAATATTCTTTAAATCCTATTACCAATATACAAGATTTTCTGCAAAATTTTATATAAAGTATCAGGTTGGAAATATCTCAACCTACTTTATACAAAAATTTGTGTAAAATCTTGTGCAGTAACATGTAAGCATGTTTTTTTCATTTTAAATTTTTTATTTAGACATGGTAAAAATAATACACTGAGTTATATTATTATCAATATATTTAACTTTTATATGTAGCTAAAACATTTTTTTTTTCAAAATGCTTATCACAATGTCGTATATGTGCAGATAATTTTTCCTGATATATCATACCAAGGGATTTTTGCCAGATTTTGGATCTAAAATATAATACAATAAATTATATATACTGACATATTAGACATACCTAAATAAGATATAATATAATAAGTATTAACTACTCTTTTATATATTAGTGGAATATATTTTTATTATGATTTGAGAGTTTTACACTGTAGTAAATAATTATCATATTTTATAATTTATAACAGATAGATATTTTTTTTTCAGTAGTAAAATTATCATATATTTTTCGATTACTGATGACAATTTTTTTCGCATATTTATAGTAACAAGTTTACTTATATCATCAAGGAAAAATATACATATATGTATATTTGTCAAAATAAAAAACAGAATAATTTTTTCACATCTTCTTCGGAATACCCACAAATAATACAATATAATGTCATTGTCACAAGTGTCAAAAAAATTGGAAAACCAAAAGTTTCTCACGCAAAAAACACACTTAAACATTAAATTAACAGTCAATACAATAATGGGCACTGAAAAAATACTATACAACACAAATATCAACGCTATATATAAACTACTTACTTACGTACTTACCTGCAACCTATGCGTAGGTTATATAAAATGCGATCGTCATAATGTTAATAATATTATTTTCATTGCTATTTAACTAATTTCTGTAAACCATATAAGTTTTACTGAACGTATCTTGAATTTATCAACTTCTCGTTTTTTTATCTGGCCATCTGTCGAATTTTATAAAATTCAAAAAATTTAATCTCATAAATATTTTCCACCTAGCGCCACCTACTAAATTGTATCAGAAACATTATTATTTCCCAAACCCATTTCAAATTTCTTCTATACCGAGAACGAGCTCTAGCTCCACCTACCTCTGTTTTACATTTAAAGCGACAAAGAGAGAAGTATTGCGTTTAATAAGGTTCAGAGAAAGATAAAAAACAGAGACAACTTTTCCCTATCAACTCGGATCTCTGGTTGGTACTCTGTGCTTCTTAGACATATCATGTCACATCATGTATCTAAAACGTGTGACCTTGAAAACGATAACGATTATTGGGTACTACTACAGCATCCGTAAGTAAAAATGAACATAAAGTAGTTGTGTTCGTGAAATATTTGCTTCCGTAAAATAATAAAGAATTTAAATAGTGACACAAAATCAAATACTCCGGTAGTGCTACTTATTTTGATGTCAATAATCAATAAAATACACTCTTCGTCAAAGTTTGGATTCTAATATTTGGGGATGGCCATTTTAATTAATAGAATTCAGGCATACAAAATCCAAGGATCTGAGATATCATTTCCGACGTATTTTGATGAGAGGAAAATGATACCGTAGTCAGAATTTATACATAACAGGTCGGTATCTTGTAAAATCTATACTTAGGATTAAAATGAACCCAAAAATCGCTTATTTTAGCCTAAAAATGAGTAATCGCTTAGCTGAAACTAACAAGATTATGGTTCTTGTTTGTAGATTATCTGACTCTTTTGTTTTCAAATGATCTACGAAGAGAATGTCTTTTCTTTTGGTTTCCGGTACATCCTGTTTCAGATTCCAACAATAGTCAACTAACATACTCGTATTTACGTCCCATCTTCCTTGATATCGCCTTTCCATTTCTTTGAGGTCCTGATGGTACCTTTCGCTCTTTTCTTCGCTAAAGTCCCTAAGGTTGTATGGAAAGTAAATGGTAAATGTTAAATGGGGAATCGAGATGTGAATCCAGGAAATGTATCTTCTGATTCAACAGCCTAGACTCTTGAAGTTGTTGACAATTTTTTTAAATATTTCTTGAAAAATTAAAAATATAAGCTCAAATGATATCTCTCTATGAATTGAGCAGCTTTCGTCTAAAACATCTAAGATATGTAGAACAAAATCAATTTTGGACCATGATTGAGCAAATTTTGGGTCCGTTTTTACCCTAAATGTAGATTTTACTAGATTGTTATTTTTCAACGAATCCTGACGATTTTTTTTTAACTTAAAGCTCTTTTCATAAGCTTTCCGAATATGTAATAATAACTATATCACGCTCGTGCGTCGTATTTTGCATCTATGGCTAAAAAATAAAAATTCCAGGTTGCAAATTTGAAATTTAAAAAAAATGATAGATTTCAATGTATTATTATGAAATCTACCATGAAAAAAAATCAGTGCGATTGTGGAAAATCCTCGGGATCATCCAGACTATAATTAGTTAATTAAAGGCCATAACTTCTACTATTCAACTTACCGATTCCAGATTTCATGTGAGTTATTAGACAGTGATAAGGAATAAGAGGATGCGATGCCAAAACGTTCTGGTAATAATAACGCAGTTTATAAATGTTTAATTCAAAAGTCATAAATAAACTTCTTCTGTTTATAACTTTTGATCGAATCAATATTTTTTGGCGCTCGAGAGCTAGTTTTGTAGGTCTATTCAAGACGAAAAAAAAGTACTTTACTGTTTTCTCGTGGAAATGAACGGAAAAAAGTTATAAGCGAAAAACGTGAATTTACGCAAAAATTATACAATTAACCACCCTGTAAACAATCTTCTCCCCAATTTTTATGACTGTGGAAACTATTATGTTATTGTACAGGGTGGGCAAATAAGCGAGGTAAGCGGCTGTATCTCAGAAACTAATGATCGTAGAGAGCTACGGTAAAAAAGTTTGTAGGTAAAGTGGGCAAGGAAAAATGCTGGAAATTATTTTCAAGTTTCCAAGATGGCCGCCAGTGGGCGTTTCCACCATCTTGAATTACATAAAGTTACGTTTCTCGCGATTTTCCCCAATGAATGTAACAAAAAAGTATTTGCGTTTTAATGTTAACTTAAAGTCGAATATTTTTTGTAAAAACAATTTTTCTCTATCTTTCGAAATAAAGTGGTGGGGGGTATTTGAATGTTGTTTTAAATAAATGCCTGTAACTTCGAAACGGCTTAATGGATTTGGATAAATTTGGTATCATTGAAAAGAGCATTTCTTGGGCTTTTAGGTTTCTCGTAATCATGACAGTTGCGACCTACACGGCCGCCGATAGAGGGCGTTATTCGATATTATAACCAAAATATTGGATTTTCTCAAAAAATTTAAATGCGATGATATGACTTTTTTTAGACTAGAAAATAGACAAATGACCAACCAATAAGCCTGCGCAAACCGCATCTTAATATCTTTTTCCTAACTCAAATTATTTAAAAAAATACTAAACCAGGAAAATTCATATATCCCCATTTAAAAATGCATCGGTTGCTTTCGATAAGAAGGCAAGTAGTAGGCCATGGACACGACAATCGCCTAACAAAAATATTGCCAAGTAACGTCAAACTTTTGTCACACGCAGCCTAATATTGTTGATTGCGTATAATTTGAGTACTTTTTAATCAAAATGCCTCTCACAAATAATGAAGCCGTTGACATGATTGCGATTTATTTCGAGTGTTTTCAAAATGCAGCTATAGCTGCAAGACAGTACGCGGCACGGTATCCAGATCGCCGTCATTACGGGAGAAGAATGTTTCCGCGCTTGGTACAGCGATTACGCGATACTGGAAGTTTTCGTCGTCCTAAACGTCGCAGGCGTCGCAATGGAAGGACCGAAGAAAACATTATCAATGTCTTGGCTTACATAGAATTTGATAGACATGTAGGAACTAGAACATTGTCTCTAGACTTGGGAATAGCACGAACAACTGTTAGAAATATTTTGAAAGATTATAGGTAAATAATTTTATCTTATTCCAAGTATCTTAGCACATACTCTCAAATACACAATTCAGTGTTATTCTGATTATATTATTTTTACGCATATGTTGTTTTTTACTTTTAGATTACATCCTTACCACATAGTTTTGCACCAGGCGCTAAATGAACAAGATTTCGATAATAGATTAAATTATTGTCAATGGATGCTAGGCATGCTTGAGGAAAACAGAAATTTCTTAACGGAAATTCTCTGGACCGACGAGGCTACCTTTAGTAGTGATGGTAGAGTAAACCGTCATAATATGCATTATTGGTCCGCTGAAAATCCGCATTGGTTAAGAGAAGTGCAGCACCAGGGACGCTGGAGCCTAAATGTGTGGTGCGGTATCATTGGGGACAGAATTATTGGACCTTATTTTTTTGATCAAGCTTTAACTGGTAACCGCTTCTTAGAGTTTTTGATCAACGACTTGCCAATTTTGTTGGAAGATGTGCCACTCGAAACTAGGAGAACTATGTTTCTGCAATTAGATGGTTGTCCGGCACATTATTCAATTAATGTCCGAAACCATATTAACGGGACCTTTCGAGAACGCTGGATAGGAAGGGGAAGCCTATTTCCTTGGCCGGCAAGATCTCCGGACTTGACATGTCTTGATTTTTACTTGTGGGGACGCTTAAAAGACATTGTTTTTCAAACTCCACCAACAACACGAATGGATATGGAAAACAGAATTCGAAACTCAATTCGTCAACTATCAGCGGTAGAAATCGAGGCTGCGGTTCTGTCGACTCAAGAAAGACTGGAACAATGTGTGGAATATGACGGAAGGCAATTTGAACACAGAAGGCATTAATCTTTTTTCAAAATCGGTCCTTTTCAGGACCACAACTTTATTTAAAAGGAAAATCGCTTATAAATACGAAAACGTGCGACTTAAAATCACAGCACTAAATAAACTGACATTTCTTGTGAATATTTTAGAGAGGAGTTTGTCTTTTATTTCCATGGCCTACTACTTGCCTTCTTATCGAAAGCAACCGATGCATTTTTAAATGGGGATATATGAATTTTCCTGGTTTAGTATTTTTTTTTAATAATTTGAGTTAGGAAAAAGATATTAAGATGCGGTTTGCGCAGGCTTATTGGTTGGTCATTTGTCTATTTTCTAGTCTAAAAAAAGTCATATCATCGCATTTAAATTTTTTGAGAAAATCCAATATTTTGGTTATAATATCGAATAACGCCCTCTATCGGCGGCCGTGTAGGTCGCAACTGTCATGATTACGAGAAACCTAAAAGCCCAAGAAATGCTCTTTTCAATGATACCAAATTTATCCAAATCCATTAAGCCGTTTCGAAGTTACAGGCATTTATTTAAAACAACATTCAAATACCCCCCACCACTTTATTTCGAAAGATAGAGAAAAATTGTTTTTACAAAAAATGTTCGACTTTAAGTTAACATTAAAACGCAAATACTTTTTTGTTACATTCATTGGGGAAAATCGCGAGAAACGTAACTTTATGTAATTCAAGATGGTGGAAACGCCCACTGGCGGCCATCTTGGAAACTTGAAAATAATTTCCAGCATTTTCCCTTGCCCACTTTACCTATAAAATTTTTTACCGTAGCTCTCTACGATCACTAGTTTCTGAGATACAGCCGCTTACCTCGCTTATTTGCCCACCCTGTACATATTATTTAGCATCTATAGTGATAAATTCAGCTTGCCGAAACAAAAAGTCGCGAAATGGTCATTTCCCAGCTTATTTTCCTGACTTAAACACTAAAAATTATTAATTTTGACTCAGTGTGTTTTATAGACTATTGGCTTCAAAATGAGTAACACTACCAGAGTCTACATCTTCACACTCGAGTTTTTTTTTGTGTACAGATGTATCAAAGTGAAGTCAAAGTTCAACGGAAAAGTCTCGCCAATTTATTTAGTTGCCTTAATACATTATTTAGAAAAAAAAATACATTAATATAATTCAAAATCATTGTAAAATACTCACAAATTTCAAATATTCGAATAATATTAAGTTTACAGAATTTCGGTGAGCTTAAAAATACTTTTACACATAACTTATACATACAGAAAAAAATATTACAATTGATCAACTTCTTCGCATTATCTTCCTAATCTGGATCTCTAATAAAGCCAAAGAAGCTAGTCCTACCACCGACACCAGTCCACAAATGTACGACAGAACATTTTCGTAGAAATTTGGACACGCAGTTTTAGGAGTACACTGCCTAAAAATTAAAAATGAAACATTTTTTGTCTAACAAAATCAGTATAGTTTTGATGTTAGCAATTCTCCAATATCTAATCAAATTTGTTATATAGGGTGCATCTTAAGTCTATGTCATAAATGAAGAGGGTGATTCTTTGGGTTATTTTAGGCCCAAAAGGGCCCCAAAGTTACTGGTTTCCAAGATAGAGGGCGCTAAAGTTTTTGAAAAATATAACATTATTTCAATTTTATCTGAAATTATTTGACATAGATTGACGAAACTTGGGGAAATTGTGTAATTAATTAATAATAGTAATAATTCGGTATATTTCTATATAAATCTGCCAACCAGGCTCAGGGGAGCTTTGTCAGTAAATCTCTCAGAAAAACTACGCCACTGGATTTTCAAAATAATTAATGGGCGCATTTAATTTACTATCATGTTTTTAATAAAAAAAGGTCTCTTGCATTTTCTTCACACAATAAACCATTTTCGATTTATAATTTTCTTTGTTCAATGTTTGTTCAATGGATGTCAGCAAGTCAAACAAATGCCAGGAATTTTTGAAAATGTACGACAAATGCCAAGGAATCACCCCTTCATTTATAACATAGACTTAGGATACATCGTGTATATGTGTTAGTCATTTATTAATAATATAATACATATTTTTTTAATTTAAACTCTCTCGAAAGAACTAAAAACAAAATACATAACACCTTAGCGTACAATAATTCCGCAAATTATTATTAGATCTGTAATATCTGAATAGCACTTACAAATTTTGAACCAACAGTACCACCCCTCCTGAAATTAACTTGTCTGTAAACGTAACCATACTGTAAACACGACCCCCTCCATAGCCATTGGTTTTCACAAAGTTGGCTGTAAGACACAAGCTGGCCACCATAGTGGAAGATCCACAAATTCCTGAAAGAACGTATCACCAATGAGATGCAGTTGCTTACTTTACGAAATACCAACCTAATAAAACTGCGATAACATACAGTTCAGTATCAGAAGCTGTGGATACTCCTACGCCTATCCATATGGAGGCTGACAGTCCAAAAAGTGATCCACATAGGTAAGTAATCTATAGAAATGCAAATATCGAGTTTAATTGTTTAAATTATTTCTTGTACATTTCTTATTATTACTTTTGTATTTAAAACAAGCTCACTAAAAAACGTAATATTTAAAATACAGAAATGGATGATCCTTGCCAAAACAAGAAGAAGAATTTTGTTACATTGAAAGAATCTATTCTATTATAGCAATACTACCTTTAACCTACCTTGTCATTGCAAACTTCGTTCCTAAATTTTAAAACGATGGACGTAAGAAATGAGGCAATGTAACAAGTAAGAGGTATACTAGCTATAGTCTGTCTCATTCTTGCTTTGTCTTCAACTAACGACCCTCTTTCGTCTATATACAGGGGTATGTAAATAAGATTTAGGATAGTAAAAAGTCTTGACGCCATATACCTAAGGGACAGAAAGGTTACTGAACCAACTTGACCAAATTCACCTTCTCCCCGAGATTTAGATGCGCAGTGGAAGTCTGAGAAAAAGTTGTTTGAATTATTGGATTCAAATCAGTTGTGAATCGTAAAGTGTAAAGTGCACAAATTCGTGGAAAAGTATACAATATATTTAAATTTCAAATTGTAAATATATTACTTGTTAATTAATTTTAGAATCAAGTATTCTACCTCGAAATAGGTATAAACACGACCAAATATACTATTTAAATGTACAGGGTGGGCAAATAAGCGAGGTAAGCGGCTGCATCTCAGAAACTAGCGATCGTAGCGAGCTACGGTAAAATATTTTATAGGTAAAGTGGGCAAGGGAAAATGCTGGAAATTATTTTCAAGTTTCCAAGATGGCCGCCAGTGGGCGTTTCCACCATATTGAATTACATAAAGTTACGTTTCTCACGATTTTCCCCGATGAATGTAACAAAAAAGTATTTGCGTTTTAATGTTAACTTAAATTCGAACATTTTTTGTAAAAACAATTTTTCTCTATCTTTCGAAATAAAGTGGTGGGGGGTATTTGAATGTTGTTTGAAATAAATGTCTGTAACTTCGAAACGGCTTAATGGATTTGGATAAATTTGGTATCATTGAAAAGAGCATTTCTTGGGCTTTTAGGTTTCTCGTAATCATGACAGTTGCGACCTACACGGCCGCCGATAGAGGGCGTTATTCGATATTATAACCAAAATATTGGATTTTCTCAAAAAATTTAAATGCGATGATATGACTTTTTTTAGACTAGAAAATAGACAAATGACCAACCAATAAGCCTGCGCAAACCGCATCTTAATATCTTTTTCCTAACTCAAATTATTTAAAAAAATACTAAACCAGGAAAATTCATATATCCCCATTTAAAAATGCATCGGTTGCTTTCGATAAGAAGGCAAGTAGTAGGCCATGGACACGACAATCGCCTAACAAAAATATTGCCAAGTAACGTCAAACTTTTGTCACACGCAGCCTAATATTGTTGATTGCGTATAATTTGAGTACTTTTTAATCAAAATGCCTCTCACAAATAATGAAGCCGTTGACATGATTGCGATTTATTTCGAGTGTTTTCAAAATGCAGCTATAGCTGCAAGACAGTACGCGGCACGGTATCCAGATCGCCGTCATTACGGGAGAAGAATGTTTCCGCGCTTGGTACAGCGATTACGCGATACTGGAAGTTTTCGTCGTCCTAAACGTCGCAGGCGTCGCAATGGAAGGACCGAAGAAAACATTATCAATGTCTTGGCTTACATAGAATTTGATAGACATGTAGGAACTAGAACATTGTCTCTAGACTTGGGAATAGCACGAACAACTGTTAGAAATATTTTGAAAGATTATAGGTAAATAATTTTATCTTATTCCAAGTATCTTAGCACATACTCTCAAATACACAATTCAGTGTTATTCTGATTATATTATTTTTACGCATATGTTGTTTTTTACTTTTAGATTACATCCTTACCACATAGTTTTGCACCAGGCGCTAAATGAACAAGATTTCGATAATAGATTAAATTATTGTCAATGGATGCTAGGCATGCTTGAGGAAAACAGAAATTTCTTAACGGAAATTCTCTGGACCGACGAGGCTACCTTTAGTAGTGATGGTAGAGTAAACCGTCATAATATGCATTATTGGTCCGCTGAAAATCCGCATTGGTTAAGAGAAGTGCAGCACCAGGGACGCTGGAGCCTAAATGTGTGGTGCGGTATCATTGGGGACAGAATTATTGGACCTTATTTTTTTGATCAAGCTTTAACTGGTAACCGCTTCTTAGAGTTTTTGATCAACGACTTGCCAATTTTGTTGGAAGATGTGCCACTCGAAACTAGGAGAACTATGTTTCTGCAATTAGATGGTTGTCCGGCACATTATTCAATTAATGTCCGAAACCATATTAACGGGACCTTTCGAGAACGCTGGATAGGAAGGGGAAGCCTATTTCCTTGGCCGGCAAGATCTCCGGACTTGACATGTCTTGATTTTTACTTGTGGGGACGCTTAAAAGACATTGTTTTTCAAACTCCACCAACAACACGAATGGATATGGAAAACAGAATTCGAAACTCAATTCGTCAACTATCAGCGGTAGAAATCGAGGCTGCGGTTCTGTCGACTCAAGAAAGACTGGAACAATGTGTGGAATATGACGGAAGGCAATTTGAACACAGAAGGCATTAATCTTTTTTCAAAATCGGTCCTTTTCAGGACCACAACTTTATTTAAAAGGAAAATCGCTTATAAATACGAAAACGTGCGACTTAAAATCACAGCACTAAATAAACTGACATTTCTTGTGAATATTTTAGAGAGGAGTTTGTCTTTTATTTCCATGGCCTACTACTTGCCTTCTTATCGAAAGCAACCGATGCATTTTTAAATGGGGATATATGAATTTTCCTGGTTTAGTATTTTTTTTAATAATTTGAGTTAGGAAAAAGATATTAAGATGCGGTTTGCGCAGGCTTATTGGTTGGTCATTTGTCTATTTTCTAGTCTAAAAAAAGTCATATCATCGCATTTAAATTTTTTGAGAAAATCCAATATTTTGGTTATAATATCGAATAACGCCCTCTATCGGCGGCCGTGTAGGTCGCAACTGTCATGATTACGAGAAGCCTAAAATCCCAAGAAATGCTCTTTTCAATGATACCAAATTTATCCAAATCCATTAAGCCGTTTCGAAGTTACAGGCATTTATTTAAAACAACGTTCAAATACCCCCCATCTTGGAAACTTGAAAATAATTTCCAGCATTTTCCCTTGCCCACTTTACCTATAAAATTTTTTACCGTAGCTCTCTACGATAATTAGTTTCTGAGATACAGCCGCTTACCTCGCTTATTTGCCCACCCTGTACATATAACAGTAAACCTTCATTAAATGAAACCTTAATTAAATTTACTTTATTCATTTAAGCAATATTTTTGCACAGAAGGTAACTGCCCTACTATTAAGGTCTGCTGTCTTTGTCATTCCTACTACCGTCTCTCTTCTTGACCGGCGCATGTCGGGGACAATTTGAGTTTGGTTAATTCTAGATCTAAATATTTAGAACAATAGGTAGTAAACATGACTGCAGTGCAAGTTCACGTTAATGTCACAGCATTTTAAAAATTTGTAACAAAACATTTGTTTTACTATAAAAATTTTTGACTGTTCAACTAGCCGCTTTATATTAGTTTTGAGTTTGTCATACGACCTTCTGCCTATTTTCTTGATCAAAATACGTACATAAGGGAAACGCCATATATAAGGAGTGATTTTAAAAAATGCTTTTGCCTGTCGTGTGTATTTAAATTGTTAACATCATTAATGTCTGCCTCTCTTATAACTTCATATTCATTCTCCTGAGTCCCTAAAAGACCACAATAAAAGAACATCGATGCTAATAATCCCGTAAAAGTTATAATTAGTGCTACACCCTAAAAAAAAAATATTATATTTACTTTTTCATAATATTTGAACTGTGATTTTTTCACCTTGAATTTGTAAAAATCACTAGGTCCTATACCTTCAGATTCTTCGGCGTCGTCGCCGCCAGTTTTCAACATTATCAAAGTTATGAAATATACAGATATGTTACAACATACTGATGCTGTGTACCTACAAACGAAATTATCTAGAACCTACAATACCTAGAGATTTCAATACTAATTACTCCATTTGGTAATAACTAGAAATCAAAACACAACACGAAAGAGGATTTAATGTCGGATTTAAAGTGATTACGTTTTTTTCTGCACAAATATACTTTACAATCTTAAAGATAGCGTAAATCCAGAACTAACCCCATCAAATACAAGGTGTTCCATCTAAGAGGGATTTTTCTGTAACTCTGCAACTGTAAAATTTCTAAAAAAATGGTTTTGATAAAAGTTGCCTGGAATCATGTTGGCCATGTAAAGTAAATACTTTTAGCTTTCCACCCTGTAAAGCCAAAAATATTTTCCTTACATGACCCACATGACTCAGACTGTTACAGAGTTACAGAAGAACAGGTGGAACATCGTGTATAAAGCTCGGATCTGCCTAATAGTCCAAGCATTATAGAGAAATGCTTACAGAAATTATTACCTGGACAAAATAAATATGACCGTATAGAAAATTAAATTTTAAATTGAGTTTCTTGTTCTTTAAACTCGATCAAATATGGCGAAAAGAGTTAAAATAAATCGCAAAGTTGAAAAAAACAGTTTTTCTAAAATAACTAAAAAAATATAGCACGGATTGAAAAATTTTAAATGAGAAAGTTGTAGGTTTTAAAAAGATCTATCGACTGATTTTTTGAAAGTATCGATTGCTTTGTTACTTTTCGAGATATATCGAAAAAACCGTTAAAAATCTTCTCTTTTCTCTTCTTCTATAACTCGTTTACATTTACGTGCCCATATTTGCTATTTACTGCAAGCATAGCCCGCGGCAAGCCAAAAAAGTACATTTTTGAAAAATTTAAAAATATTAATTATTTTTCGAGATATATCGATTTTTTGAAAAAAAGGCGCTCTCGAAAATTGGCTAGATCTTCTCAGCGGATAGCCCTACAGTAACGATTTTCGGTTTATTTTCTTCGTAAAGAGTTATATTATCATGCTGTTAAAAAATGTTGACGATTTTATTAATTTTAAGGATCAAAAAATGACTTTGAATAAGTTGCACTTTTTTGGGTATGTTTTTTTCAAATTACTATTTCAATTTTTATTTTATGAAAATGACTTTTAAAGAAAGAAAACTAAACATTTACGGGTCTATTTTGCTTCTAAGGCGAAAATGCTATAATATTCGTGTTTAGCTACCCCAGATTAAGTACAAAAAAATAATAAAAATTGAAATAGTTATTTGAAAAAAACATACCCAAAAAAAGTGCAACTTTTTCAGTCATTTTTTGATCCTTAAAATTAATAAAATCGTCAACATTTTTTAACAGCATGATAATATAACTCTTTACGAAGAAAATAAACCGAAAATCGTTACTGTAGGGCTATCCGCTGAGAAGATCTAGCCAATTTTCGAGAGCGCCTTTTTTTCAAAAAATCGATATATCTCGAAAAATAATTAATATTTTTAAATTTTTCAAAAATGTACTTTTTTGGCTTGCCGCGGGCTATGCTTGCAGTAAATAGCAAATATGGGCACGTAAATGTAAACGAGTTATAGAAGAAGAGAAAAGAGAAGATTTTTAACGGTTTTTTCGATATATCTCGAAAAGTAACAAAGCAATCGATACTTTCAAAAAATCAGTCGATAGATCTTTTTAAAACCTACAACTTTCTCATTTAAAATTTTTCAATCCGTGCTATATTTTTTTAGTTATTTTAGAAAAACCGTTTTTTTCAACTTTGCGATTTTTTTTAACCATGTTCGCCATATTGGATCGAGTTTAAAGAACAAGAAACTCAATTTAAAATTTAATTTTCTATACGGTCATATTTTTTTTGTCCAGGTAATAATTTCTGCAAATTTAACATTAATCCGTGACAGAATGCTTGGACTATAATGATGACCAAATTGTCTACACTGGGTTCGTATTATTGAATATATGAATTAGCTTAAACACAAAATTGTAACATATTGATGAAAAGCTATATGTGCTGTTTTTTTGTCAGACTTTAAGCTTTTAATAAAAAAATATTTGTAAGATTTCAAAAAAATGTTACTTGAAAAATTTATCTATTTTGTTGAGTTCTACATACTATTAAAAAGAAAAACAGAATATACAGGGTGTCCCGGAAATGGTGGGCAATCTCTCGGATATGGATAGATAATGAGAAAATAATGTCACAAGTTCATATAAAATTTTTTCCTCCGGGCTCACCCTGTAGAGTTATTAGCTCTTGAAGTTGAGAATTAAAAATGTTTTTTTTGCTGTAACTTTTGTATTTTTCAATAAATTTTGAAAATTTTTTGGCTGGATCTATAATTTTTGAAGCTGCTTTGGATGATAATATGAAATCCTCGATAATAATTATGGGGGCCCGGGGGCAAAGCACCCCCCACCAAAATTTCTAGAAAAAAAATTTTTGTTCCACTATACCCCAAATTTTCCATCATTTTATAAAAATTTATGGTATTTTACGTAAAAAAGGTATACTTGTTGAATATCCATAAAATAGATATTTTTTGAGATAAACCCGTTTAAAGAGGAAGGTACCATTTAATTTGAGACATTTTATTTAACAGAAACACAGGTTTAATCGTAGTTGGCTTTTACATATCAGAATAAAGGACAAATAATTTGCAATAGCAGTGTTCCAAATTATGAGAATTTGGACTTAACTAAACTAACTAAACGAAAAGTGCATGACAATCAAAATTTTGTAACTAATATAATTCATAATAAATTCTCAATATTAGTTCCACCTTCTCTTATACAAATACGAGCTCGTTTAACAGAAGACTGTTGCACTCTCCATAACATTTCAGGATTTTGTCGTATTTCATTTGCACAATAAAAAATCCTTTCTTCTAATTCTTCTCTAGTGGTTACAGGTGTGGAATAAACAAGATTTTTCAAGTGCCCCCAAAAGAAAAAGTCAAGTGGGTTCATATCTGGAGTTCGGGCAGGCCAATGAATAGGTCCACCGCGACCTATCCAGCGATTAGGATATACCTCGTTTAAATGGTCCCTTACTGCAGCACTAAAGTGAGGCGGCGCCCCATCGTGCATGAATATCAGTGCATTTCTGGTTTCAAGATCAACATCTTCTAACAGTTGTGGTAATTGATGCACAAGGAAATCTAGGTAACGTTGACCATTCAGTCTAGGGGGTAACACAAATGGACCCAATAAGTAAGGACCAATAATTCCACTCCAAACATTAACATAAAATTGTCTTTGGTGCCTAGTTTCAATAATAGCGTGTGGGTTCTCATCAGACCAATAATGTAAATTATGGGAGTTAATAACTCCATTCCTCCCAAAACTTGCTTCGTCAGTATACAGAATTAATCTCGTAAACATAGGATTTTGCTCATGTCTCTGAAGAAACCATTGAGAAAACTGTACTCTTGCACGAAAATCATCAGGATTAAGAGCATGCACTTTTTAGATACGGTAAGGATGAAGCTGTTCTCTAAGGATTCTTGCAACAGTGGTCTTTGGAACATTGGTAAAATAAGATAATGACCTAACGCTAACTGTTGGATGAGCAGCAACTTCGTTCAGTATATTTTCCTCTACTTCAACTGTACGTGCTGTTCGCGGGGCACCCCTGTTTGCAGTAACAGGAGCAAACTGATCTAAAGACATTAAAATTTATTTAAAATCCATTTTGTTTAATAATAGTAATCGTATTTTACCAGTTTCTCTTAATCTTTGATCAATACGTTCGAAAGTTTTGCGATCCGGAATTCTTCTATTAGGAAAAGAATGCTGATAAAATCTTTTTGCTGCCGAAGCATTACAAAGAGCCCAGGCCCGCTCGTACATTAAATGCATATCAGCATATTCTTCATTGGAATACTCCATATTTTATAACAAATTATGAGTTATGAGATGAATCTTAGATTTAAAACTACGTATTTGACAAGTTTGACAATTTAATTGCCTTTGGCATACTCTGACATGTCAAAGCCAACCACGATTAAATCTGTGTTTCAATAAATAAAATGTCTCAAATTAAATGGTACCTTCCTCTTTAAACGGGTTTATCTCAAAAAATATCTATTTTATGGATATTCAACAAGTATACCTTTTTTACGTAAAATACCAAAATTTTTTTTAAAATGATGGAAAGTTTGGGGTATAGTGGAACAAATTTTTTTTTTTTCTAGAAATTTTGGTGGTGGGTGCTTTGCCCCCGGGCTCCCATAATTATTATCGAGGATTTCATATTATCATCCAAAGCAGCTTTAAAAATTATAGATCCAGCCAAAAAATTTTCAAAATTTATTGAAAATTACAAAAGTTACAGCAAAAAAACCATTTTTAATTCTCAACTTCAAGAGCTAATAACTCTACAGGGTGAGCCCGGAGGAAAAAATTTTATATGAACTTGTGACATTATTTTCTCATTATCTATCCATATCCGAGAGATTGCCCACCATTTCCGGGACACCCTGTATACTCAAAAATTATACGTCATACAAAGAAAAAAATATAAATAGGAAGAAAAAAAAAACAAATGTTAACATAAATTAAGCATACAATTTTATATAATGCAATTAATTTCCATTCTTGCTTTTCATAACAAATATAACTTTACATAGTTTGTTAAATTATTGTAAGTTCACAGAATTTCATGGTAAAGAGTTCAGTGCACTAATAAAGGGTGTCCCATGGAAGCGGCATGCGATAGATGAACGAGTGAAGGTTCTGAAAATTCATTACAAGTACGGAGTGTGTAGCTGAGATTGTGCGCAAATTACGTGGGATTTTCGTTAGAAGGAACGTTCCGAATGAAACAACTGTGAGAAAATTAGTTGCTAAATTTGAACAACCAGATTTGGTTGCAGACAATAAAAAACAGGCCCCGTACTGGCCGTTCAGCAGAACATATTACTATGGTGAGTAATAAAGTGGCGAAAATGCGGTCACTGCAATTAAACATTTCAAAAAGCATAATGCAGCTCATTTTAGCAAAAGATCTGCCACTGCATCTATTCAATATTAAGCTAACCCAGGAATTGGGACCAGACGACCATTTAATGCGCTGTCAATTCGTTGATTGCATGGTGGAAAATCATCAAGTTGACGGATATTTTGCTAATAAAATCATGTCATGACTGTCAATGGAGAACGATACCCAGAAATGATATTGAACTTTTTGTGGCCTCATTTGGATGGCATGTGAGCCCAGTAGAATAGTGGCACCTGCCTTACGGCACGTGAAACTATACATTTGTTACGACAGAAATTTAATGGACGTAACTTGGCCACCAAGACCGTGCGATCTTACGCCATGTGACTTTTCCTAGAGAGATTCGTATAGTCCAAAGTTTATTCTACTTAAATGAATACCATTATTGAATTAAAGGCAGAAAGTCAGAGAGTTATCAACGAAATTCAGTCGCAGGTCTACCATTTAAAAACATGTAAATGCTTTGTCAACTTTTTAATTAATAAAATATTTTTTCCTCATCTGAAGTCTTGCTTTTCTTTTGGGAAAACATTTACTAAGTTAAATAAAACATCGCTTTCCACAAGTACTATTTATATTAGGAATTTTTAACCTATTATTTCAACTTTTTTTGTTCTTTTGAAATTATTATTAGATACAACTGAAAGACCATTTATGTAAGTATTAGATACATTCAGCAATAAATAACAATATAGGACGTTATGATTGTTTGCATCTATAACAGTATCATATCGTCTACAAATTAATTTATGTAATTAATTCAATGTTACCTTATTGCAGTGAGTTCAGAACTATGGTTGTGGTTTCTGGATATTTCCGGAATAAGAGACAGATGTGAGATTTGAACTATAGCCCAACCAGTTTGGAACAGAGTTATAGTTACCACATAATATACAATTACTTCTGTGGTGATTGTTGAAGGCTTTAAAGAGAATATTAAAGGAAACCCCACGGAGACAGCTATGGTACCTAAAAATAACTGTTAAAATGTATCAGATATGGATGGTTAAATATTTATTCGCCTTCGTTTTTGAGATACGCATGAGATACCACCTACAGTGGTCACTATTACTTAATATTGATGAAAACAATAAATTCAAAATTTTAGCTGTTGACTAGATATTTCGGGTGTAATTCAATGCTGGTCGGAGTTTTTTCATCATAATTGGTCAAATAAGACGTTGGAGATTAAAAACATGTTATATTCCTTCTAAAATTTGAAAATATTCAAACAATATTTTGTGTGCATAATACGTGAATGACGTGGCACATAACGTGAAAGAAGTTTTTTTGAGGAGTTGTTCCCTGTAATATATACTTTTCGGTACGTCTTCTCACATAGGTATCCGCTTACTCTTTAGATTCCTATATTTTGACAAATCTGAAATTATTCTTTCTTTTGAAATTTTTAACAAACGTATCTCAAAAGCGACGGCTTCAAATACAAATGCTTGATTCTCCCGTAATGTTACACTCTGACATCTATTTTTTTTCTTGTTATTTCAAGATATTACTATATTGTTTGAAGTTACTTATTTGTAGCACAGTTTTCGTTTTTTTTTTCTTTATTTATTTATTATTTTGTCACCTGTGAAAAAAATTATACAGAAAACCTTTACACCGAATCTTCTATAAAAACAAACCTTGACCAATCATTTTCACAGATAGCAAAGTGCTAAATAAGAAAAAAACAAAATTAGTTGAATATTTTCTTCATTAATGATGGGTACACAATTGCGATTTTGTAGAAAAGTGTGATTTACAATGTAAATACCTCCCAAATGCCATAGACGACGATGTCCTGTATAATCAATTGCCCATCCTACTACCGGTGTTGCTAAAGAATCCACCACTTGCCCTGTACAAAAAAATGAAGTTACGATTACGAAATTTATTGTAGAAAGAAACTCTAATCTACAATATTGCAAATGTTTTATTTTTATGACAACATGTGACTACTTTATTGCTAGGTGGTAGTTTATAAATATAATCGGTCACTTATACTAACTTTTCAATGTTAATGAGACTAAAAACGTATAAAACGTGCAAATGTGATAAAACTTTAGAAGTGACCATTTAAATAATAACGAAGCTACCTTTGACCTTCAGAAACGCGAAAACACAAGAATACATTGTACCGTCACCAAAAACTAAAATAAATAACTTTATGAGGTTATACAGTTACACCACACAAAGGCACTAAACGAAAACTAAAATAAAGATGTAACAGATGAAACAGTGACTATGTATTTGGTCATTCCCATTTCTCCAAATTAACGTGGCAGTTTGTTTGTAACGCGTTTACCATCTTGTCATATCATACCACGTGCGAAAACAATTGGCAGACAGATCAGCGGAGGCTGACCTTCGATACCTCCCTTTGTAAGCGTTCCGAACAGGGTCGGATTCTGGTTAATTTTATACTGTTCACAGTTTAATTTTGTTGCAATTTTATTTATTTTGGATTAATAAGAAAAAAGAGTAACATACCGTATTTCTCTGGCTACTGTACATAGTGACAGTAGTATAGTTCAGCTAAACTAGGTCAATGTCAGAGGTCGTTGACACTGAGATTCACAAACTAAATGCAGACGCTGCGTAAAAAAATAGTAACACACGTTTGTAAAAACTTGAAACGTTTTTAAAAAATATTTCATATTAATCAGATTGGTATATTTGGTAGTTTTTTAAAACAACAATAATTATTTTAAAATATAAATTAGTTTTATTTTCAAATACCTACGTAATATATGACGTGAAATTTTTAAATTTCCTAAAAAAATATTTTTTTAATGTTTCGCGATTCGTTCACATTGACACCAAAAAATTATGGTGACTTTAAAATAACACGTCGTTGTCTCAGAAAAGCAGTCTGTTTTTACTAAATTGTATTTCATTACAATTAATAACTATCCATGTACCAATATTAGTTAATATTTTATAAATTACATAAATTTTTGTATTTTTGAAATGAATTTCAGATTCGTTATCAGGAGATCACGTACTATTACCCCTAGAAAAATAACGCCCGCATGACATTTACTTATAACACTTACCAATCATTAACAATATTCCAGCCGTACTAGACTCCATAGTTAAAACCACTTGCAGGTAAAATAGGGTGTATGAAAACCACATAGCCGCACAAAGGTCATTAAATATGTGACCCAGTCCGAAACTAACTTTTTCCACAAGTAAACAAGATGTTCTTGTCGCTACCTCGGGTTCCATTTTCACAAATAAATTGGAAAATTAATAATTTAGCTGATACAGAAGTTACTCTGTTTATTTTAATACATCTAACAAGTAAGGTATCTAGAATAGATGTGGTTCAACTTGGTCAGACAGGAATTGTGTAGTAAAGTAGTATTTTTTCTACGGTTTCATCGAATTACAAGATGAAATCTAACACCAATATCGACTTGCAGACAACACGAACTCATAAAAATGGTTTTTTGAACGAAACTGTGGATTTAACATAATATATTGTAAATACAAAACGGCCTTAACTTTTCCAGAACAAAAAACGAATTCAATTTTCATCAAAGGTAATTTTGTAATTTTGAACTTGTCTTGAAAGAAGAAAACTTAGCAAATAGGCCAAGCAAATAAAATTTTTACTCGAAAAAATTCCTATCCGCGATATTATTGTACAATTGTCTAAAGGAACATAATATAAGACATCTCGTGAGTCAAAAAAAATCATTAGCTAACTTTTCTATTTAAACAAATAAGTGAGGAAAATAGTTTTTTCACTTTGCAGGGAAAACCAACAATTTTGTGATTGTGAATTTTTACTTTAATTTTACATTTAAATCGTAATTAAATAGCTAACAAAATATTGAAAAAATAAGTTTACTTTGGCTTAATATGTAAAAAAATAACTTTTTAAATTAACGATAGCTTCATTTATTTATTTAATAATAGTAAAATAATTCCGATATTAAAATTTTAATTAATATTTCGTTTAACAATAATTTTTGGTGACATTTTTGTAAATTAAAAAAAAATAAGTATAAAATATGCGTTTTTTCTGGGGTTCAGGGCTATTCTATGAATTCGTAAATATGCCCATTGTTATTTTTTCGTCGAGCTACCCCAGTTTTAAAAAAAAAGAAGTTCCTACGATGAATAGAAGCCGAGATATTGCAAAATTTTACAGCGCGCATCAATTTGAACTTTGGATTTCACTTTCACAAATAAAGGTTCGTTTAAAGATCATAATAATAATGATAATAAAGAGAAATAACAAAAAATAAGAAAAAAATAATAAAAAGTTGAAAAAATAAGAAAAAAAAAAGGTTAACCCTGATGAATCTGTTTTGGCTTCTTGATGTATCTAAATTTTTCATAGCAAATGTTCGAATTGAAGACCATCTACAGTTTGACAGTGAGCAATCCGTTGATAAAAATTAAACACAGCATTTCTAATAATTTATCAAAGCAGCTTCACGAAGAATACGGTTACACAATTCATTTAAATTATTTGGCTTTCTCATGAAAATTCGACCTTGAAATGACCTTTAAGGATATCCAACAACAAATTTTTAATTCCATATTCTGACATTCTATCGATTTGTATAATAAAAAAGGGGTTTATGCTTGAAATTTTTAAGTTGATGTTGATTTGACCTTAAAAATTGAAGTCAAGGTCAGCTAAATTGGTTTTATAAAATCCTACAACTTTTTTCTTAAACATTTTTTGATACCCCTTTAAGTAACATATTTTTCTATTGAATATTTTTACCTAAATTTTGTTACCGCGGGTTTTTGGGGTCGCTGATTACGAATCTGATATCCGAATCCGAAAATTCCTGAATAAAAGATGGCGGATTCAACATGGCCGATGTAAAAAATCGGAAAGGCATTCAAAATTTGAAAATTATATGCCGGAAACTTGTTACTCGGTGATTTTCAAAGTCGCCAATCACGAATATAAGGCTTTAATTAGGAAATTCTTTTATGTTCCTATCGTATCAAGAGCTGTAAATTGCAGGAAACTTTTTCTTTATTCTGCTATAAGGCACTTATATTATTACCTATATACAAAAAGATTTAAAAAGATATTTGCATCTTCATATGCTCAATTTTTTCCAATAAGTATGTTATTTCTTACAACGCCCTGGTTGAACGCTAAAATTTTAATTTCGATGAAAAAATTCCTTCAATTGAAACTTGCCCTATGCCCCTATGATAAAAATTTAAAATAAGAAAATCTCTTTAATAAACACTCATTTATTGATTGGAATTGGTTGACTTTGGCACAATTAATTGCATTTTTACTTAATTAATATAAAAAAATTTCTTTTACCCGTACCTAAAAAACAAACGACGATGGTTTATAGGAAAAACTCAATGCCAGTCCAACGTTCAACAAATTTTTGCATGCACTCGACGTACGCAGTTTTTAATTCAAAACCAACGGATTTGAATTGCATTCAAGTTTTAATTATGTGCAACATTGTCCTTCGTTAAAGGAAAGCAACATTTACGGAACGTCCCAAACTTACGAGGTAAACCAGATTCAAAACCGTGCATTACTAAACCGCAGTTTACGTTTGGGTATTCGTATGTTCGGTAATAGTTTTTAAAAATAATAATGTAACTAAATAAAACCTTTGTGCCAGAAGAATCATTAGAGCTTTCAGTTTTTAGGCTAATTACAATTCATATACTAAAGATTTAAATATATTTTTATGATCCTTACAATTTTGTATGTTTTGGACACCGTCTATACAACTAACGCACCAATTTTATAAAAAATTAATAACTTTTAAACGACCTTTAATCAAAGTTCGTAACTCTTGTTATTAAAGTTCAAATGTTAAGAAGATGATGTGCATCGATTTAAGTGAATAACTTGTTTTAGTGTCTCATAGAGGGAATTTACATTTACAGGGGAAAAATAAACAGGTAAAATACATTTCCGTGAAATCAAGCAGAGAGTGTAATTGGAATTTCCAATATTCCTCAAACAACTACTGATTCGGAAACTGTCATCAAAAGTCAACATTTTCGTTAAATATTCAGTTGACCTTTATGTTCTAGATCGCCAAAGTCTTTTTCGTTCTAGAACATAAAACAAATGTCAAACTAATCCGCTACCGTACTAGAACGCCACCCCCCCCCATGTCATTTAATAGTGGTAATATCGGCCCCTGCATCGGCTAACAGAGTGGCGGAAGAACGTCTAAAGCAGTGTCTTGTATAAGTTTTTGGATGAGGCAAATTGAGATAAGTTGCTATTTCTTTTGGCACAATCATTATTTTGTTGACGACAACCACTTTGGTAACACATTTTTCCCAGACATACTTCATAAAAAATAGTCGACTTAAACTGCCAGACATAAAGCACAGTAGCAGACTCGAAATCACAAAACATCTCGGAGTATGAGTTTTGGAATTAGGAATTCTTATAAGGTCTGTTCCAACAAGAGTAAGGGATTGGTTCCGAACCGTTCGAAATGTTTGGCCAGCTAAGTTCTAAATGTGTCTTCAGTGAATATATCGCAAGAATTAATTCGATAGACATTTCTGACGGTTCGGAACCAATCCCTGACTCTTGTTGGAACAGACCTATAATAATAATTTAATCTTTGTCTCCTATATCATCGGTCGTTATCTTTAGTAGCTCAGCTCTTTCCAAAGCTGCACAAACACCAATTATTAAAATGACCTCAAAAGTTGTCCAAAATGTTTATTGTTTATTATGTTGCTATCATTGTGACAGTCACTGCGATTAAACCGTCTTGATTCTAACACCGTTCAAACGATTTCAAATATAAATTAAATTGTCGTAGGTATATAGCAGAATTGTCTTATTTTATTGCAGTTTTCGAAAAAATATTGTTTGCATCTCGAACGCAAAATGCTTTTGCGTTCTCGAGTGGATATTTTGCATGGCTAAGCTCGGCAAAATAACTTCCACCCTTGCATGAACGCAGAAGTACCATTTCGTGTTCTAGATACAAAAATTACTATTTTCAAAGGAAATTGGCCATACAGTAAAGAAGGTATTTTGCAATAAATTTTTGGCTATTTCCCAGTATGGAAATATATAAATCTAAAGCACGTTATTGTACAGTTACATTTAAAAACATGACCACTAAGTAAAATGGCTATTAGAAATATTCTAATGTTAGAGAGAGATAACAGAACAGTATTTATAAGCAATTTAATAAACTTTGACCTTATCTATAAATTTACTTATCATTCAATTGAACATTGTTCATTTGTAAATGGAGTATCCTATCCGCAGTGTATAAGTAGAATCCAGGTGTATAATACTTAGCGCATATCTCCAGCTGGTGTAAATGTAAAATAAAAAATTGTAATAAAAATTGTGCAAGTAAGTAAACGCTCATGATATTGTCCTTAATTATTTATTTGTGGCATTTTCAGTTACTCTTTTTATTTGATTGGGTATTTTTGCCTCAATGAAATAAATGGTTTTAATAAATAAATTCAGTGACAGTGTTGATTTTATACATTTCTTTTTGACTAACCAGAAATATCATACTGAAAAAGTAGTTCGACAGAATAATCGCTACAGATTACGTCTATTTTCATTACAAAAACTTTCGTTCTCAAAATTGACCTAAAAGGCAACTTTGAGAGTTTTCTTTTTTTATTCATTTATCTTTCATGGATATATAAAATGTCATATACAGGGTGTATCACGAAGAAGGCCCAGTAGGATTATCTCAAAAAGAAGTCAGAATTGAAATCTGAAAATTTGTATACAGGAGTTTATCAAATAGATCTATTGATTGAAAATAGTGTCAGCTTCCTCGCACTTCCGGTTATACCGGAAGTCATCATCAGCTTTGTTATTTCAAATTAACACTATGTATATTTATTTATTTTTTAATTCTACGGCAAATTCTAGGCTATTTTCATAAAGGTACTATGGGCTAAATTTTATACTTTCAGTGGTACCGTATCAAATAAAAACAATAAATAAACACTTATCTAGGTATTTATTAAAGTCCATTTCACTTACCACTTGCTGGATATTAAATGATATATTTTCAATAAAAAAAAAAACAATTCCCATAGTTACTAGATTTTATAAAAGATATATCCGAAATTAATAGAAAATGTATACTCTAATTTTGTCATACACTTTGTCGAATACACTAGGTGGGAACAGGGAAAATGAGACATTATTTAAATGTCAATTATGTATGACATACTGATTTATTAAAAATGTATACGATTTGTGTACCATAAATATTTACAAAAAAATAATTATTGTAAGCTTGACTCAGCATATATACTTACATAATTTTGTTCCATTTAGTATATATTACATAAATAACAAACAACTCAGCTATCTCCATTATATATTTCTAGAAAAATTAGAAAGAAAATACATAAACAGCAAAAAATATCGAATTTTACAACACAAAATGTCGTTCTCAAAATACGGTGACTGCTCAACGGTAATAATGTTTAAAATGTATTGTTATATTGATAAAAAACATTCACATATCAGACAATAAGTATTAAATATAAAGAAACTTTGTAATTTCAGGAAGCAGTTCCAAAAATGTCGACAGCAGAAGATGTGGTTGCTACAGCGAGAGACAGCTTCAACAGGGGCGTCACTAAAAGTTTGGAATTTCGACTGAAACAGTTGGAAGCCTTGTTAAGGTTGATCGAGGAAAACTTTAAAAACATCGAGGACGCTATTATGAAAGATTTCAGGAAACCCAAATTCGAAGTCACCCTGTATGAAACAGAGTTCTTAAAAAATGAAATAAAACACACGATAAAGAATCTCAAAGGGTGGATGAAACCGACAAAAGTTGACAAGTCTTTACCATTTCTCATGGATGAGGTATGTTCAATTTTTTCTCAGCTTTTGAAAGTTTGAAAGATTACGTATAAAATTAAGATTAACGACAGAAAATTGTTGGAGATCGATATGGGTAATTTGAGCAATTCTTCGGAAAGTTTATGGTAATTTATGTTATTTAAAATCTATTAATGGAAAAATTATTCTTTATAGGTAATTATTATAATATTTTATTTCTCATTAAAACTAGTTATGTCAAAAATGACCATTAAAATTATTTTAATAATTAGCTATTAGATAAGGATTAAATAGCCTTGAAATTTAATTCTATCAAAATATTATGTACTGTACGAATACTTTTTTAATGCCTACTGAATATAGTCAAACTGGAAATGTTAAGAAACAAAAATATTTGAAAAAAATATTATATTTATAAACCTAACCCGTAACTTTATAAACCTAACCCGTAACTTTAAGTGGGGGTTAGTTTTTTAAGGGTAATAGTACGTGTTTTCCAGAATATTAATTTGATTTTTTAACCAAACATGCCCGAATCATACCTAATTTATTTTTTTTACTACTAACTTGAGAAATCGCCATTATTTACTTCATTTCTCTAATGAAAAGAAATGTTTCTCTCCATAGGTAAATAATGATAATAATAAAAATTGTTTAATAACACGAAAATTATGGACACTGAAACTTTAGTTAATATTTAATATGTATTCACATATTCTATTTATAATTTCATTATCTGGTTTTTAATTTTCTTCCTTTTTTATCCAATCGTAAATATTTAAAATGACGCTGACATTGAACATGTAAATCTTTATTTTTAAATTATAAATCTGTTTTATCAACATGTTCTACTAATTCAATATTGTCTGACAGTATTTCGTTTTGATCCGCTTCAAAAGGTCTTCAAGATGTCATGTTGTAATAAAATTAGTAAACAAAATATCCCTCTTATTTTTCCCTTTCGCAATTGTAATATGAATGATTAATAGAAGGTGCCTATAATACATTAAAATTACCTGGTTCACACCAAATTCCGCATTGCTGCATTGCACTGCTAGGAAATTTGTCAACCGAAATTTATAGCTGGTCGTCCAGTCCGGTTGTATTTGTTTGCCGTTTGCCCGCTCGCGTATTCTTCAACAGGGCGACCAGACCTGTAGTTATAGGGCTAAATAAAAATATGGGGAAAAGTTTTTCAAATATTTCAATGCCGAGTTGTTGCGTTGTGACCGAATCTGGTACATACCGCCAAGCTCTTTGGTCTTCAATTAAATTCGGAAAGATGGGATGATGGAAATTATAAAAAAATATTTGAAATTATAGTTAATTGTACAGTTATAGCAAATCATGTGTATTCCTTCATTTCCTGTATTCATAGAATGAACATTATTATTTGAATATGAATATTTTTCGTACTTTGTGAACATTCATTAGCTTTGTTCCTAGTAGATGCCAAAAAAAAAAATTTCAACAGTCAGACGTATATATGCATATAAAATTCATTGTTTTGAATCAAATGCGATTGCGTCGGACTGTTGGAAACTAATTTTATTCTAATGCACTTGGAACAAAACTATTGACACTTGGCACAATCATCAGTAGCCTGGAAGTTTTCCTAACCTAACCTTACAACCCCCCCTCCCTTCCCCGTTTTAAGCTTACTAAGTGTTCTCCATTTTCTGCCGTTGGGGAATGATCAGCATAACAGTCAGGATTTTCTAATTTCAGATATTGAGCCATTCCGGTACTTTACTAATAGTATTGCGCCCAATATTTTCTTTAATATGTTTACCTCTACGGTACAATAAAAAGTTTTGTAATGTTAGTTGACCTGTTAGCTAGGTATGTTTTAACAACATTAATTCATTGTGGGTCAACAATAACAAACTTCCTAGATGTTTCATTCCTTGAATTAGGAATATTAGGTACAATAATATCATCTCTCATGTCTAAATCAGCAATAACCATATCTACTGCACAGTTCATCTGTTCTGCAAGCACATGCACCCCAATTACCACAATAGTCTAGAATACTTATAGTTCTTGTAAAAAGATAAACACAAATTAATAATGAAATGTACCTTTTTTTAATAGATACACATCATCAAGAGCTTCAAATATAAATTTGTCAATTTCTTCTTTTGCAAATACACGTGATTTTTTTGTGTTTATAACCATTATTTTTCTGTTGGTTTTCTGAGTTTAAAAAATTTTGAAATGTCAATATTTTCTTTTATTGCAAGGGTGGCTTTATAACATGGAATAATTTTCCCACAAAAGTTTTTTCTTTGAAATATGCCAATGAAACATTTTCTGTTATTTTAACAGCTTTCTTTTCCACACCATATTTTAATTGAGTATATCCATTCTTGTACAATCTCTTCAATTTTTCTGACAATCACTACTTACACTAACTGCTGCATCTCTAAGTTCAGGGGGGATACACATTTTCATCTCTAAATCACTATTGATATTTCGGAATATTTGAAAAAAAAGTAAAACATTACTAGGTAATATCGAAATTTAATCAAATCAAATATGGCAATATATCAACGTCAGTAGTAAAAAATTCTATATATACTTCGATTGAGAAGATAGACCTCGCACATTATACAGAGTGTCCCACTAAGAGCGGCTAGGTACGATATAAGGTAAAGTATAGTTTTAGAACTTCGGGAAAAAAATTTTGATCAATAAATCCACCAAGAGAAATCGCTGAAAATAGTTTTCAAGTTCGTAACTCGGCCGCTAGGGGGCGCAATCTTTATAGAATTTTTCTCAGAAATGTTTCCTATTCAGGTATATTATATGGTACAAATAAGGATAGTGGGATTCATTGCGCATAACTTTTGTTATTGACATTTTGTTCTATCTCCCTACAGAAAGGACGGGGGAAGCCCCTAATGTCTCATCAGAAAAATGCATTTTTTAAAGGAGGCTCATCAAAAGCCCATAGTGTTATGCCTCGTTGGAAAGGTTCTTTTCATGCTGTATCTCGTGGTGAATGCGTAATGTCATTGACCTCAATATGTAAACCTGTAGACGGCGTTATTTCAAAATAATGCCGTTTTATGGATTTTTCTCAAAAATTTTAAAAGCAATGCTATAGTTTTCTTTACATAAATGAATTTAGCACAAAAAATGGATGATTATAGAATAAGTTTGAAATTTTTATCGAAAGTGTTGTTTATTTATTGCCGCTATTTATCCAAGTTTAGGTTGTTTTCTTAAAAATGTGAAATAGCAGGATAAAACTTTTTATACTCATAGGTTAGTTTAAAGAGCATAAAAATAGTATATTTTTTTGTTATCAAGTTATTCGCAAATTAGTGAGCAAAAAATAAATAATTATAATTAATTGAGGAACACGATCGCTAACGAGACATTTAATTACCGAAACAAAATGCGTTTATAAAACAACCTACCTACGCAACGAAGGTTAAATTTCTGTNGAAATTTAATCAAATCAAATATGGCAATATATCAACGTCAGTAGTAAAAAATTCTATATATACTTCGATTGAGAAGATAGACCTCGCACATTATACAGAGTGTCCCACTAAGATCGACTAGGTACGATATAAGGTAAAGTATAGTTTTAGAACTTCGGGAAAAAAATTTTGATTAATAAATCCACCAAGAGAAATTGCTGAAAATAGTTTTCAAATTCGTAACTCGGCCGCTAGGGGGCGCAATCTACATAGAATTTTTCTCAGGAATGTTTCCTATTCAGTTATATTAAATAGTACAAATATGGGTAGTCGGATTCATTACGCATAACTTTTGTTATTGACATTTTGTTCTATCTCTCTACAGAAAGGACGGGGGAAGCCTCTCATCAGAAAAATGCATTTTTTAAAGGATTGGCTCATCAAAAGCCCATAGTGTTATACCTCGTTGGAAAGGTTCTTTTCATGCTGTGTCTCGTGGTGAATGCAGAATGTCATTTACCTCAATATGGAAACCTGTAGACGGCGTTATTTCAAAAGAATGCCGTTTTATGGATTTTTCTCAAAAAATTTAAAAGCAATATTATACACAAAAATGGATGAATATAGAATAAGTTTGAAATTTTTATCGAAAGTGTTTATTTATTGGCGCTATTTATCCAAGTTTAGGCTGTTTTCTTAAAAACGTGAAATAGCAGGATAAAGCTTTTTATACTCGTAGGTTAGTTTGAAGAGCATAAAAATAGTATCTTTTTTTGTTATCAAGTTATTAGCAAATTAGTGAGCAAAAAATAAATAATTATAATGAATTGAGGAACACGATCGCTAACGAGACATTTAATTACCGAAACAAAATGCGTTTATAAAACAACCTACCTACGCAACGAAGGTTAAATTTCTGTATTNCTAAGATTCGCCGTTTTCAAGTTATTCATACCAATACAATCCCCTTGTGGCAGACACTTCACACCATAATATTACAAGAATATTTATGTTTGTGCTTAAAAGTAAGTGCAATTTGTAAGCAGATCAACAACATTATTTCCTCATCACCTGTGAGGTAGTGTTCCTAATGTGTTTTAGTTTTCCCTGGAGGCTTAATCCACTATCTTTACAAATAAGAACAATTTAAATCAAAATAAAAATACATTTACCAAGCAACAACAATTAAATAAGAAACGAAATTAACGTTACGTATTTACAGCAATTGTTCAAAATGCGAACCATCCACATCGATACATTTCTGACAACTTCTATTAATGATTAATGGAATTACCTAACTAATATCATGTGGTGGTTTTCATTTAATTCAATACACCCGTCTTCTATTCGCTGTAGTAGTTGTGGTCTTGTATCTATTGGAGTGGAGTAAACTTTACTTTTCAGATAGGTAACCCCAAATATACAAGTCCAGGGTGTTTAGATCTGGCGATTTAGCTGGCCAAGACAATGAATTCTCTGCACCATTATGGTTGACATTGGCATTTGGTCTTCAACCGACCCATCGCCCCATATAATGTTTAAGCCATTCTTCTATTATTCTCCTAAAATGCGCAGAAGCACCATCCATTTGTATCCAGCTATTTTATGGTATATTTAATGGAACATCCTCTAATAATTCAAATAGATGGTTTTCTAGAAAGTTTAGAAATGCCTGGGAATTTAGATGGGGTGACAAGAAGAAAGGTCCGATTTATTCCGAGCCACACTTTCACAGAAAATTCGTGTTGACAAGATCTTGTCCGAATTTCATGAGGATTTTCTTGTGACCAAATATTGTGAAAATGTACTACCCTTCGCCTTGTGAATGTAGCCTCATCGGTCCAAAGTATTTCTAGTAAAAATTCTGGATTATGTTGTGACTTTAAAACAACCACTAACAAAAATTCAGGT